CGTTTCATGTTTCCTGCATATATTAATATGCATTATGTTCAAGAGGAAGGTCCCCCTTAAGAATGAACTACTGAAAATTACGAAATATTTCGCCTCTAACGTTCATGTTTACACAGTAACTCGACATTTCACTTGAACAATCTTTGTACAGAGTAGGCCCAGTTGGTCACTTTTGAAGAGAAACTCTTGTTTTCTAACTAGATAGATGAAAACTGATGGCTATGTTTGGGGTCAAATTTAACGACAAACTTAATTTAATAGTGAAAACCGTATACCGATATCTATCATCGTTTCGAAGTTACAGAATTTTTTTCAAAAATGAACATTATCGAAAAGTTGGTGTAAATTTTTTTTTCTGTCAAAAATTTCTTATTCAATAATAATATTTATTGGCAAATATATATGTTTCAATGCCACAAGTTGTACGAGGAAATTTCTGAATAAATATAGAAAACTAGAATGAATACAATTTCAAAAATTAAAATATAAAATAGTATAACTTAATGAATAAAAGGTAAGACATTTCAGAAGTGTTAGACGTATTAATTTAATTAAATCTTCATACTTCTTGTATGAAAATGTGAAAACATTTCCAAAGCAATGTTTTTGGGGTATTTGTTATCTTCCATAATCTAAAAAATATAAAAATTATAATGAAAAACTTTATACAAGTGTACAAAAGGCAAGCTTTTCAGTTTACGCCAATAAGTTACTGCGTAAAATCAAAGTATTTTTCACAAACATTTATCAGCAACTTGTATATATAAATTGATGGATGTAGCCGTTACTATGTGGTAGGAACCACTTTTATTTGCAGTAACTGCATTAACGTTAGTTACATATAAAAGTGGTAAAAAACATGACGTGTATATTATAATTTTAATATTTTTCATATTGTGGAAGGTTACAAGAAAGTTATCCAAAGAAAGGTCGATAAAAAACTGATTTTCCTCTACAAAAAATTACTTCCGTTGAATTTCCAAAGCACTTTTTACGCAGAATTCAATGGTGTGAAAAACTTATTTTTTCAAATCAATCAAATCAATAGTTATTGAAGGAAAACTTTTTTTAAATAAGACATCCTGTACATTCCTGCATATTTCAATAGAGCTTAAAATTACCTCCTCAAAAATGAAGCATACTCAATATTTTACTAGTCATCTTTGAAATACTGAGCTTTTAGGTTTTTTCATGTAAATTTTCAAACGCACACTTGGATCAAGTAGGCTTTGGAAGACGCGGCGATAAAACATAACAAAATTGTTCAGTATTAGCTATCAAATATTGAAAAAACTTTTCACAGCAGTAATTAAAACGCATAGTTTCAATAAAACTGATAAAAATGTATACTATATTTACTACTAAAATGAGACTTCAACAATAATAATGATAAAGAATAAACAATGAAATATTTTTTTTTCAGAGAAGGTGTTCGAAATGTCTACTCGCTTCTCCTACATACAGGCGACACCTTTTCTGAACATTATTTTGTCGAATTAATTAGTTCAATAGGAGTGAGACAAGCAAAACTTTGCATCACTGCCGCTTCCAATTGGTATCTTAAATTGGTCGGCAATTTAAAAATAAGATCTTTTAACCTCCTCCAGAGGTAAAAGTATATAGGCGTTAGGTCCGGTGACCTGACCGGCCAACGGCTGAGTCTTTGATTGGCTATCCAATTATTGTCAGAATTTGCAGCCAAAAAATTGGTGACAATTGCAGTGTTGTGAGGCGAAGCCCCGTCTGAGTTTCATTAAAGTATGCGTTTTAAAGTCTACATGAAAAAACCTAAAAGCTCTGAATTTCAATGATGACTCTAGCAAACCATCAAGTGTGCTACATTTTTAGAAAGAAAATTTTGAGCTCTATTGAAATTTGCAGGAATATATAAGGTGTCTTTTAAAAAACTAGTTTTCTATCAATAACTATTGATATCTCATTTGAAAAAATAAGTATTCAACACCATGCGTAAAGTGCTTTGGAAATGTTTTCATAGAAACAAAAAAATTTTTGATAGAAAAAAAATTACAAGAACTTTTCGAAAATGCACATTTTCGAAGAACATGCTGTAACTCAGAAACGATGATAGATATCGATATGCGGTTTTCACCATTGAGTTTGTCATAAAATTTGACTCACCCATCAGTTTTCATCTATTGATTTTGAAAAGAGAAGTTTCCCTTTGAAAGTGTTGAATTTGGCCCACTACGTACATCTCATCGATTTGAGTCATAGTTTAACCCGTACCAATATGTAAATATAAATAAATGATGGTGTTGAAGAAATGCTTCAATTGCACAACAGAAAAATGGGTCATACTACAAAAATTTCCTTTTCAAAATATCTCAGTGACTAATATGTTTCGTATCAACAAGCCATGAGAAATTTTCGTTGTCAGACTGAGTCGATATTAAAGTAATTGATTGACGTGTTGAGGAAATGTGGTTTTTTACAGGTTTGGTACGAATTGTATCATTTATACCATATATAGAATATATGTTTTCCCAGTGGCAAAGCAACCTAAGGTTGAGATAACTCAAAACTAGTCGTGAAAGATGCATCAAGACATCATTTGAACATGACATGTTCTAAATCACTACTGAATACTAGAATCGGGAACAACAAATATTACAATAAACATCAGTGCAGTAAATGTATATTCCATTTTCATACTGTTGATTCAACTCGCAAATATAATGGTTTACTTTTTCAGAATCATTAGTTCTGTTCGATATTTGATGGTTTTTTCATTGAAATCAATATTAAAAAATTTGAAAATCATTTGATTTGAATCGCGAATCAAATCAGGCCGATACTGCCCCACCCCTTCACACTGAAGGGGAGGCAATCCCCATTTGAAAATTAAAAGACAAAAATCCTTTTTAATATACTGGTGTAC